CAAACTAAATCTAAACTATACTTTAAATTTACTTTTAAGAAACTTTATTTTTTTTTTGTAATGAATGATGATTAGAATCTTCTAGAAACATTTCTATGATTACGGATTACAAAACAAAATTAAAGCTTCAAGTTGCACGCACAAGGTGGCAAAAATTGTCAGTGACAATAAAAAAAAGATGTCTTTCGACCGTATTCCAACCAAAAGGCCTTCGAATTTTCCATGCAATAGGGACAAGCTAATTTACCATATGTGCTCCACTCAGATAACATTCCATACCCAGGTAAGTCACTAATGGTCCACATAAGTGTAGCCCTTATCAGAAAGTATTGACGCCTAAAGCTGTCATAAGTTTGGACTCCAAAATACCAAAACTACTTTAAATCATCGATTAGTGGTTGAAGCATTACATCAATATTCTTTCTAGGACTTTTGGGACCTTGGATAATTAATGAAAGGAATACATATTCTTGCTTCATGCACATTGTTGGAGGCAGGTTATAAACTGACACAAATACTGGCCAACAAGAGTATGGAGATACAGAATGTCCATAAGGAGTGAGCCCATAAGTGCACAGACCTAACCTAACATTCCTCGGTTTACTAGCAAACTCAAGGTGAATGCTATCACAATGCTTCCACGCCTCTCCACATGTAGGATGAAAAATTTTCTCATTTTCATTATAACAATTTAAATGCCAGGTCATATGCTCAATAGTTTTCCTAGACATATACAATCTCTGAAGTCTAGGAATAATTGGAAGATACCACAAAGACTTTCTTGGTATAGGCTTAGCAGAATGCACATCACGCTGCTTAAATCGTGGCTCTTCACATACCAGGCACTATAAATAACATTGACTTTCATATTCTCCATAATACAAAATGCAATTGTTCACACAAACATCATACTTTTTATACCCGAGACCCAGACACCTCAACATCTTCTTGGCACCATAATAATCTATTGGCAATTTCTCCCTATCAACTTTTTTGAAGGCCATTAGACTACATTGTAACACATAGTCCCAATTAGTAACACTCATGTTAAAAAGTGTTTTTGCACTCATGAGCTCACACACCCACTTTAAGACAGTGACACCATCATCACACCTTTCAAAAAGAGGTGTATCAACTGCTCGCAAAAGATCAAAGAACTCTTTTGCATCTCCTCTTGGCTCCTCAAATATCGATTCTGTACTAACACCATATGGATCATCAAAGCTAGCATGAAATTGTGTTGCATCTTTTACCATTATGGCACTGTTTTCACTATTAAAAAAGTTTGGTCCCATGGCATCATGAAGCATGTCTCTGAGTTGATAGACACTTGGAACATTATTCATAGCAGAAGCAGCAGTGGCGGCGGCACTTGATGATTCACCCACACCCACTTGGGTGTAATCCCGTTTTCTATGAATAATTTCTCCGTGTCTTTTCCAAATAAAATACCCATCCATGAAGCCGTTCTTAATAAGATGAGATTGCACTTTGCGTCGATGATGCCATTCTCTATTCCAACACTTATTACACGGACACCAAATCATATTCTTTGCACAAAACATCAAGTCTGTTTGTGAGAATGCAAAATCTAAGAAAACCTCTACCCCAGCATTAAATTCATTATTCCAATACCCCATTTCATTTCGACGACGATACATCCAACTCTAATCTTCTCCCATAATTAAGTAGTAGGTGCCTTAAAAATTCAATAATATCTTAATATTATATAACAAGCACTAGAATCATAAATATCAATTTTGGTCCATCAACTTTATGATTTTACACAATTTTCATCCCTCAATTTTTTTTGCTCATATTGGTCCTTCAAATATAAATAATGTACATTTTTAGTTCTTCTATCAATTAAGTTTCTTTAGCACATTGATAAAAGGACTAAAAATGAAAATTACTCATAATTGAGGGACCAAATGAGCAAAAAAAGATAAGGGACAAAAATTATGTAAAATTTTAAAATTGAGGAATCAAAATTAGCATTTATCCTCTTAAAATGACATATGCTACAATAATATATATAATTACATTTTTAACCAACTAAAAATCTATCTAATTTAATTCATCTTTATAATTAATTAAAAAATTATGAAAGTTAATTTGTTATATATTAATTATTATCATTTAATTTTATAAAATATAAATACAA